TTAGTGTATGATTGTTAAATGTTTATACCCTATATTTTGCTCTGGGAGGTTGGGAGGAGGGAAGGGGAAAAATTTGTAAAATTTATTAAAACTCTTCAATAAAAAAAGCTTATCTGCATTTTTGTACACATAACAGAAATACTAGCTATGCAGAAATACCCACAATGTATCTAAATATATTTTTTAATATCCACTGTAGTAATCCAAGCAAGAAGTCCTGTCCACTGCTTAAAAGTGAATACTTAAAAATGGACCAGTAACCTGTGGAGTTGCCAAAAGCATAGGACTGTGATGCTAAATAAGTTTTGAAAACCACCTCTTGATCATCATCAGTTTCTGAATCACTTTTAAAGGCAGCTGCATGGAAGATGAATTGCAAAAATCCAAAGAAGTAGGGAGCAAAGCACTTTAGCTTACTTTTTCTTCACCCGAGGAAGCAAGTGGAAGCCTCAGTTTGCTGCACAGCAAATGGGCAAGGTTGGACAAATGAAGTTGCAGCTGTGTCTTCCTCCTAGCTGTACTGGAGAATGGAAAGACACGGGCCTGAATGCCACCCTGCAAACTGGCACCAAGCCTCCCTCTGCTTGTCGCATTTCCCAACAGTGAATTCCCACATGTTACTGAACTAAAGCTCACCTCCCACATGGTCACTAAGTATACTAAAAAATCAGGAATGCTGCAAGCTATTGCCAACAACCCATAATGTCAAGGTTTTCACAAGTTAACCCAGAGCAACCAGATGCAAAGATTTTTTGGGGGGATAATTTTGGTTACAGCTGTGGTTTGGGTGCCATCATGTGGTTCCTTTGTTGACTTTCAAAGGCTAAAAGTAGATGGAAGTGATGCCTCCCAAATGCCTTTAAACAGCCCCCGGGTTGCTGTTCACAGAAGGCTTCTCTCACTGCTGAGCTCCTCTTGCAGACACTGCCCCGTTATTTGGAAAGAAGGGAGGTTTTCTTCCTCCCAGTGAAGGGGCTAGATGGGATTCCTGACCTAAACCAATCCTGAAATCCATAGATCGCCTTGTGCCCAAAAAAGCCCCTGCCTCATTCCAAACATTCACAACCACCACAGATGTGTGAGTCCACACAGGAAAAAGGGCACAGGAGGTAAAAGAGGGTCAGTGTCACAAAATCCAACACAAGGAGTTTGACCTCCCTCAGTACTGCTCCATTAGGCAGGGAGTCAGAAAAAACAGGATTGAGGAGCAACTTCAGGAGGAAGGAACATCTGTGTGTTTCCAATACACATTTCTCTTGAGACTGACTGAAGTTCAGATGAAATATCTGGCTTAATTATTTGGGAGCATTCTTCCTTATGATTGTATTTTAATGGGTGAATGACATTATTGATGGGAATTTCTAGAGAATTCAATTTGCACATTTTGAGTTTGTTTACTTTGGACTCAAGATAGAGGCTATCCAAATATGGATTTCCCTCCCTCCCCCAAAGTTATTACCAGAATGAAAAATGCCTCAGTGTAAGTTTTGACTCCCAGGAGGCACGAATTAGGATTAGATTCCAGCCTAATCACCACAGAACTGATATTGAAAAGCAGAGCTTTCACGAGAGCGAGGAAACATTTCAGACATTTCATGAGCTTTAGACCCTCATTTCAGAAACTGAATGTGATAAATGTCTGGATCACAAGGAAAAATAAATTGGAAATATTGGAAACCACAAGGTGGCCTTTCACAAACACATTACCAAAGAAATGGAAATAGTTTATACAATACCAGTTATTTCCAAAGTCATCTATTGCGGTAATTTAGCTAGCAAAATAATATTGTACTTTATAATTCTGATGAGTTGTAAAAAGAGAATACATACAGCTAGTCTTCAACTTATGACTACCGTGTTTCCCCGAAAATACGACATCCTCATAATACAGCCATGCCACATTTTTGATGGGCAAAAATATAAGCCCCCCCTGCATTTAAGCCCCCTGGACAACCCCCCATCTCCGGTTAGGCAGAGCGCTGCTCACCAACCTAGCAGTATCCCGAAGGTGCCAAGCTGCGGGAATCTGGGGGGGAGGCAAAGGTGATCGCGTTGCTTGACAACTTCAGGATACCACTAGGTTGGTGAGCAGCGCTCTGCCTAACCGGAGATGGGGGGTTGTCCAGGGGGCTTAAATGCAGGGGGGGCTTATATTTTTGCCCATCAAAAAT